CATTTGAAAAGTTAATGTGATATATGTTTATTTTAATATTCAAAATGAGATGATATTTTTCATTGTGTTTGTATTGGATCAATGCATGTGTTATAGGTATATAAATTTCTATGTTTAAAACTGTTAACAAAATAAAAATATTAAAAATGTAAGTATCAAGGCGCATCCATTTTTTCTAATAAATGACTCAAGTCTATCCTCCTTTATGGCAGAATAGTAGTGCATGATGTATAAATACTACATTTTCTTCACCATTTATCTGTTGATAGACATATGGACCACTTCCAAAATGTAGCTATTATGTATTGTACAGTTATAGAAATGAGTATGCATGTATCTCTGTAGTAGGAAATTTTTAATTTTTTATTTTAAAGATAAAGAAAACTAAAAATGATACAGAATTTCAAAATAAGATGAAAGGAAATTAACAATGGTTATTACATTTCATATCATTATCTTCAAAGTAATTATTACTCAGATTACCAGATATAGTCATATAAGATCAATCAGACAATATAGACACTAGCTGTTCTTTTCCACAAATTAATAGAAATTGGTAATATTATTATCTTAGCTCCCTTTTTTTCTCCTTTCCCCCATCCCAGCTGTTTCTCACTTTTGAGTAGTTTCTTTCCCTTTCACAATATCTATTGTACCTTTTGGATCTTACTTACCTTTTCACTTTCTTACACTAGGGAGCCAATACTATATTTACACGTGCAAGTTTGTTTTATTTCACTTATGAGTATGGTCTCCAGTTGCATCCATTGACCTACAAAAGCCTCAAGTTTATCTTTCCTTAGTGCTGAGTAAGACTCTATAGTATAAAAATACCACAAACTCTTTCAGGAAAATATTAAGAAGAGGTTTGTGAAGAATCTCTATACTGATTTTCATAGAGATTGCACTAGTTTTATTTCTACCTACATTGTAAAAGCGTTCTTCTTTCCACGTCCTCTCCAGCATTTGTTATTATTTGATTTCTTGATAATGGTCATATTTTCTGGGTTGCAGACTTAAAACTGGAATTTAAGTGTAGTTTTAACATGTATTTCTCCAATGGCCAGCAATGTTAAATATTTCTTCACATACTTATTGGCTATTTGTACTTTTCTGGTGTCTACTCATTAACTTGCCCATTTTTTAATTGGGTCTTTTATTCTAGAGGTTTAATTTTTTTGAATTCTTTTATGGTCTAGATATGAATCATCTGTCTGAGGAATTTCTGGAAATTCTTTTTCTTATTCTGTGTATTATCTTTTCACTTTGTAATTTCATGTGAAGAAGTTTTTGATTTTAGTGTGGTCCCATTTGTTAATTCTTGAAGCTATTTCTTGTGTAAATGAGATTCCTCTCAGAAAGTCCTTCCCATGCTTATGACTTCAAAAGTTACCTAGCTTGTCTTCCAGATGGGTGTTTCTTTTCTAAGATTTAATTTATTCATCACACATGAAAACTCAAATATCACTTTCTTTCTCATACATGAGAATACCAGAGTAAAAGTAAGGAGCAAGATAAAAGATGGTCCGAGATAGAAAAACAGACTGTTCTCTAATGGGAAAGGAATCAAGGAATGAAGGAAAAGGAAAGGGTTAGGGTTAAAAAAAGGAATTGATATGTGTTACGCATATGTACCAACCCCATACAAGGTATGTAAATGTTATGTACTACACACATGTGCAAAAAATAAAAAGGAAAGGGACAAGGGGTGGGTAGAAGGTAGAGGGAAGGTAGCAAAGGGGGATGAAAAATAAAGTAATTGAATATGTTACGTGCATGTATCAACTTACCACAAGGAATGTAAGCATTATATACTTCTCCTGTGTTCTAATAAACCAAAATAAAATGCAAGGTCTAGAGTAAAAGTATTTGGTCTGAAATGTTAGTAAAGCATTTAATATTTGTGTGATCTGTGGCAAGTTATATTAAACCTCTAAGTTTAGTTTGGTCATTGGTAAAAATCAGACGCAATGGCTGGTTATAATAACTTACAAAAAAGCTACTTAACTGCTATAACAATGAAGCCAGTGTAAATGGAACATCAGAAATTGTTAGCTGAGGGGCTGGGGATTTAGTTCAGGGGCAAAGCGCCTGCCTGGCAAGCGCAAGGTCGTGAGTTC